ACTGGTTGTAAGAATTCACTAGCCCGAGGAAAGACATTAATTCCTTTTTTTGTTTTGCTGCGAAGAGAACTCCTCAATAGCCTGCACTTTAAGCTCGTGGAAGCATCTTCATCCGTTGCCGACAAGACGCCCCAAGTACCGCACGTCGCTTTGCCCGAACTTGCATTTCTTGGCTTTGAGCATTAGTCCCGCGTCTTGAAGGCGAGAAAAGACCTGCAGCAAATACTGAAGGTAGACCTCCCACGTATCAGAAGAAATCGCTGCGTCGTCGAGGTACGGCAGAGCGAAGGAATCTGTTCCCCCAGAACCAGGTTCATCTACCTCGAAAATGCGTAGGGAGAATGTTTGAACCCAAACCTCAAAACGAGCGGCCTGAAAACACCGAATGCTGTCATGAACGCTGCAAGGCTGCTGGCACGTTCGGTAAGCGGTACTTGCCAGTAACCTCTCACAAGGTTAATGGTTGCAAAGCCTTCGCACTTAGTACTATGGTGAAACGAAGTATAGCGTTCGCACGTACTTTTCTGTCGGAACTTCCACGACCAACCGTCAGGATTTCGACATCCGACAACATGACACGTCCACTCCCGTGACATAAAAAAGTGTTCAGGACCATGTTCGATGCACGGGCATTCCTACACACGCGCCAGATAAAAGCGGCCATTGCTGACCTTCTCTCGTTTTACCGAGATGCCGAACCTCCGACGCCGGCGTTGACGAGCCTTCACAAACCCCTTTTGCTGGGGAAAAGGACACAGCAAAATATAAAAGGTCTACAACTTGTTCTGTTGTGGTAATGATGGATCGAAGTTAACGGAATATGAGGAACTAACACTGAAGGTCGGTTATGGCAGCGCCCATGCACAGCTGCCGCAAAGCGTCTTATACACCAACTCATGTTTACAAACAAACCAGAGCACCCCTAGCGGACGCCACCGGCGCCGCACGTGCGCGTTGGATGGTGGGCAAGAAGCCCGGTGTCGCCCATAAACAAACCATTGAATTGCGTTGTTGTCGGCGTCGGTGGGAGTCCCCGTGCTCTTTTTCGCTTTGGAATTGTTGATTCTACGTCCTCCTAACAATGTCTGACTACTTGAGCGGCTTCAGCAAAACTAACGAGGCAAAACTTTGCGTGAATAATGTGGCGTGCGGCGATTCATTTCACGTGGACGCCGCAGAATGGGCGCTAAAGCCTGACTCCCACGATGAGATTCTGCTCGCTATTTTTAGTCGCGACATCGCTCGGGTGGACGTCGATACCGAAAACCGCAAGTAGAATCGGGCATTACAAGTCGGTGATGGCCACTGATAGCAATGATCAACATCTTCTTGTGTCTGTTTACACTTAGCCTACTTACCCCAACCAACCTTCAAAAGTGTTCTGAGGCCTGCACTTTGTTCTTATCGCAATTACTGGGTCAACGTTTGGTTTACGGGCCGCTGTCGTTTGAACGAGCTGGCGACAAAAAGCACTTAAGTTTGAAAGAGCAGACGACAGTTCGAACGCATGCGCAATGGAGTACGGGCAAGAAGCACCGCGTCCCGCCTCAACAATCCATTCGAATGTCACGTTGTTGGCGTCTGTGTTAGTCTGCTGCATACTCTTTTTCGCGTTGGGATTGTCGATTCTACGTCCTCATCGCAATGTCTTACCACTTTAATCGCCTGAGCGAAATTATCAAGGCTCGTTACGCCGCTAAACGTTCTGTAAATAATTTGAAGTGCGGTGATTCATTCGCATGAACGCCGCAGAATGGACGCCAAAACCATGATGAGATTCTTCTAGCTATTTTCGGTTGCGACGTCGCTCGTGCTGCAAAAGTGTAGAAGGTAGCGGCGATCATCGACGTCGATACTGAAAATCGGAAGCGGGAACAGACCAAGCGTATAACAAGTCGTTGATGGCCACCGGTACCAATGATCAACATCTTGTATCTACTGTTTACACCGAGCCTACTTAAGTCTTTTGAGGCCTGCAATTACTTATTATTGCAATCACCGAGTCAAAGTTTCGTCTACGGGCCGCTTTTGTTTGAACGAGCAGACGACAAAAAGCAGACAAGTTTGAAAGAGCAGACGAAAGTTCGAACGATCAGGCGGCCGTGTAAATTTGAAGACGCACTGAACCCGTGGGTGGTCCGGACAACTTAACGGTTTTCTCTCGTTCATGTTGGAACAAAGCAAATACATCTGGCGACCACAAAGTGTTGCCCTCCCACGCAATCGTAGTTCGACAGCGTCTGGTTTGCCCTTTTCACGGCTACTATCCACGTTCTCGGACGAACGGAGGGGGCAAAAACACATGAAAACTGATCTTCAAACGTTTCCAGACTCTCTTGGTACAGCCCCCATCGCAGCATTTTGACGAGAAGGCAGGTTTTTTGTCTCGTTTCTTCCAAAGGAACACAGGAATGCATGTCTGGCACGGCGACTTCTGCCCACCGCCCCAGACCGGAAGTGCGTCCGGCGCGCCACCACCGCGGCGTGACGTAGGAGAGTTGAGTTCGTGTTGAGGCAGGTTTTACGTGACGTACTTCCGGCTGGAAATTACATCGGATGCCATGTTGATCCCCATTAACTTCCTTCCTATGTTTCTCTTTGAGCGGAGCCAGTGTTTTACAGTTCGCTGAAGTTTTTTTCGCGACGTGATCGATTGCTCCTGCCAAAGTAGACGGAAACATAAAGGAGCATCGGCTGGTACTTGATTTTCAGGCAGTCTTTATTCAGGACGAGCGGACAATGGACCTTTTCCACATACCGACGGCACCAGGCGGTGGCTGCACGAACTAAAAATCGAGGAAGTGACTTACCTGCGCTACCAATCGATAATGGGAGCTACGCTACCTGTTTCTTCGCTCTCTGAGCAGCGGCGCCTGCCCAACGCGACTTTAAAGAGGGGCATCCGTGGCGTCCACCCAAACGTCGTGTTTTCCTTTCCGTCTACGTTCTTTTTTTGTGTAACATAATTATATATATGCTGCAGCTACGTGTTCTACTCGCTGATATACAGCCCCCTTCCGAATTTCCTCGATTTTTCGTTCCGACTTCTGCCGCTTGGTATCAGGCGCTCGGGCGTGCGCAGAACGCTTCTCGGAAAAGGTCCATTGTCTGACCGCCAGAGGCCGCCCCGCCCCATAGGTGCCACCGAGGTGACTTAAAAAAAAAAAGCGGAGTGAGCGTGTGTTGATGCGGCTCAAATGCATACTGTACTTACTGCAAAGCGCAGATTGTTGGGCGAGTTGGTATTAGTGTTGGGAAGTACTTTAAGTACATTGCACTTAAAGTACTACTTCAAGAAGGTTTAGGAAACATGTACTTTACTTGAAATACATACACTGGGTATGTACTTGTACTTTACTTAAAGTATTTTTTCTGGTACTTTCCGACAAAAGTACAATTCCCGACTTCAAAGTACATTCCCCAAATTTTGTTTTCTTAAATTTGTATAACAAAATAATTCTTTGCCATCTCCGAAAAAAAAAACAAAAAAAAAAACGGGAGGGATATTTCATTTTTACCAGAAACGTGAGCAGACGACGCATCGCTCCGTTTATACTGGGGGCGGCTTTTACGTAGCTTTTGGAACTCTCGCTACTACTCGTTCGGTCAGCGCAAGGGAGCAAGTTTAAAATATTAGGGGAGCAAAATTAATAATAATGTAGCACCTGAGACTGTGATGCAGAAAAGTTAAATTTTCAAGTCAAAGTAAAAGACAACAGAGGAGAACGTCACAATGTTTTGAGACATTCTATTTTGTCTTTTCCTTCTATTTAAAAATTGCTTAACTTTTCGCACCTCAATCTCGGGTGTCATATTATGATTAATTATCACCAGCTCGCTTGCACACTCACTGTTTTTTTTTTTTTGTTTGTTTTTTATTATTATTATTAACTAGAGGACACTATTTTATGAGAGGATTGCTTCCGGAAGCTACGGGACTGACGTCAGGTTCTCTCCTAGTACATTTAACCACCTTGTGTGCAGCAATCCAGTGCAAGGGGCGCCAAATTCAGAAGAGGGACTTCTGCATTTGGCTCCATTCCTAAAAATAACTACTCTGTGCCAACTTGACTTTATCAAAGATTCACCGCTGTTTTTGAAAATAGGTCATGCACCCTAGTACACCTGGACAATGCATACCAGTTAATATATTGCTGTATAGGGGAATGAAAGGGCAGCATGAAAGATTCTGTTAAAATACTTGTACTTTACTTTGAAAGTACATTGTATTTATATTATTTTACTTCAAGTGCATTGCATCCAGTGTACGTAATACTTTACTTAAAGTACAGTCTCCGGCAATATGAAAGACCCACTGGGAGCGCGTGGCCGAGGCGGTGGTTGGCGGGGGCGCTGCGAGCGCTCCGGGCAATTCCATTCTGCTTCGAGGGGAGGACGCTCACTCGGGGCTCAGTAGAATCTGATAAGCCTTTTTCGCTTTAGCTGAGCCCCAGTGAGCGTCCTTTCCTCGAAGCAGAATGGAATCGCCCGGAGCGCTCGCAGCGCCCCCGCCAAGCACCGCCTCGGCCACGCGCTCCCAGTGGGTCTTTTATATTGCCGGAGAGTGTACATCACGTCTCATTTACTTTGTACTTTACTTAAAGTACCTTTTAGATGTATTTTACCCAACACTGGTTGGCATTGTACGTGAGAAAAAATGATTGCGCTTTAAGACAAGGACGGAGGAAGAACAAACACCACAGAGCGCTCTGTGGTGTCTGTCCTTCCTGTGTCCTTGTCTTAAAGCGCAATCATGTTTTCTCAAGTGCTTACTAAGTCTTGAAGTTGACGAAGCGGCTGTGCATGCTTCAGATTTTAACGAACACCGAGCACGGCGCCCATAACTAAGCGTCTGCGTGGAAACCACCGAAGAAAGTGGCAGTTCATAAACATGGCGGGAAGCGGCTTACAGCATGTGAAGAAGCGTTTCTACAGGAACGTGCCAGTCAGAGACGCGTGGAAGCCAGCACGCTCGAACCTCGCTGCTATCTCTCCCTCAGCGTGGGCTGCCTGTTCCGGATGTCCGGCGTACTCTGCCGGGCGGCCTGCGTGTGGTTCTGCGCCATCCAGGCGCGGTTGGACCTGCACCTGTACCAGTCCTACCCCACGGCCGTCATGTACGCAGACGAGCGCATGGAGGGCATCGAGTTTCCCGCCGTCACCCTTTGCATGGAGAAAGGGTGAACTGACTACCCCATACTCACGTTGTGCAGTACTACGACTTTGTTTAATCAAAATAGTCAGCCGTTGTGGTTTTCTCCTTGTGTCATTTTGACACTTTAGCACCATGCAGGGAAACAAACGGCCGCTAGATAGGCAAAAAAACATGCCTTCCGTGTAATACTCGTCAAAATGCGAGGTGCTAGAAAAAATAAGCCATCGGCGTTAAGTCCTTTTTTGCACTTTCTTTTACTAAAATATAACAACAACGTATATGGAGTCTTGCGCACGTTACTCGAAAAAAAGTAATCGGATACAATTACAATTTCTTTCGGTTCAAAGGTGTTCAACGAGATTACTCGATTACTTCAGAAGGAAAGTAATGGACCTGAAAAAGTGACCGTTACCTTTCGGATACTTGAGTTTTTCAAAAGAAGATTTTTCCTTGGTAGGAAGTTCGGACAAACCGAGGGCGCCATTAGCAAAGAGTAACGGCTACGAGTAATGTTTGTACTTGCAAAGGTAAGCAGATTGCTCTCGCGAATACTTCCTAAGACATTTCGTCGCACGATTACTAAACTACCCCGAAAAGTAATCGATTACGAGTGTTGCTACGAGTACCGCACAAGTATGAGTTCCTTATTATTAGTTGATGCAGTCACAGGCGCAATTAGCACCTTTAAATCGCCTAGGATATGAGGTGCTCAGCCATCGGAGTCGCGATTCCCGTCTCGCGCGTTTTTTTACGACTTACGAACTCCTTGCTTCTGCGCGCCTGATAACTGCATCTGGTCTGCGTTTTTTGTGAACTTTTCGCTGAAAACTGATCTTTAGGGTGCTGTTGGAACCACCTGTATTCCTACTTTTAGGGTGTTCACCAGCACCCGAGAGCGCCGCATCAACATTCTCGATGTTTTAGCACCGTGACACGCTGGTTTATACCCATACGAATGTACATTTGTTTAGTGTGCAGTGTGTGTTAGGAACTAACAGAAGCTCCAAAACAAAATGTAGTTAGATTTGGAGCGAGTTTGTCGTTGGCTTGATTTTCCCCGTCTCGAGTAACTGCGATTTAACTCGCCAGCTTACCGACGTTTCTATCGTTTCGTTATCGAAGCCTTTCTTTTTTTTCATTTAGCGTTCTAAAAATGGTCAAATATTCGCGACTCCAGCGACCTATAGGGGGCGCCACCACCAAACAAACATGGCGGCTGAGTCCAGGTCGCGTCGGCTCGGCCGGGCCGCCTGAACAGGTGGCGCGTTCAATTTAACAGATTTTCTTTTGTTTAATGCCCAATTTTATAGGTATTTGAACTGAGACGGTTAAGTGTAGCCGGTGCACATAAACTTGCAGAGCATAGTTTTGTTTTCCAAATGTGTTTTTGTTCTTTTCATGTCAAACTTTCGTTTCGGAGATTTCGTTCGAAACCGAAACTATGGGCTCTGGAGAGACGGTAATATACTAATCAGTTTTGATCATCTAAGGAAAGCGGCAATGAATGCAGAATTCTCCCACCGACAGTAATTTTCAGCCAACTCGCATGCCTCGACCATGCGACTTATCTGTCCGCGACATCGAGCTTTCGTGCGTATCCGCGTTTAAGAAACAGCTTCATTCGTATGCTCGGGCAACAACACAGGCTGCAGGAAAATTACGAAAATTAAGCAAGCGCTTCTTGAGCCAAGGAGCATGTTAACCCACCGGCACCCCACTAAGCAGCCGATACTCGTATTTCAATTCAGGTTTGAGTAGCAATCGAGAAGTCATTTTGACGAGCGGGTTATGTATTATATTACGTACTATGGGGGGGTCCCACTAAAGCGATATTAGTATAATGTTCGGTTCAAAATATGAGCTTAGTTAACTAGCTATTATGTGAACTGCTGAGTAAAAATATATTTGACAGACAGAGAGATACTAGGTTACACTTAACCGAATGGTTCTGGCCAGTAGCACGGAGACGAATGCGGACAAACTGAAGAGTCTTTATTGGAGATTCACGCAGAACCTCTCTGGGCATTGAACTTGACTTCGAATCCTGAACGGAAAAAATGAGTATTTTTGTGGTCGTCCTGAGCAATGTAGACGTCTATTGCTGCTGGCTTAATTCGACGGAGGTATAATATAAATATTGGAGGCGCGATAGATCATAATGCCGTGACAGCTTCTAACGTTGCGAGACACGTCCCCCACTTTTTGAAAACAGATAATTTCCCTCACTCATCATTTGCAGCGAGCAGGTTTCCTGAATCAAGGAATAGCGAAATCAGCCCAACTCCTTCAGAGTGGTTTAGAGGATTTTTCGGCGAAAAGCAGCCAAGATGAATAGCCGACGCACCGACCGGCGTGGGTGGCTCAAACTTGAGGCTAATCGAACACAACCAAACTCAAGAAAAGCAGCTATCAAATCTTCCCATTCACTTGACTGCAGCATTGGTGTTCCCTCCAGTGAAATGCCTCGTCTGTCGTCCTCCCACTGTTCTAAATCCTCATTAAGAAACCCCTCATGATTCGAGACAGACAAGAAATCAAAACGTTTTTCCGCGATTCCTCCCCATCCAAGAAATCGAAAACACGTGATGGAAGCAAACAATCTACTGAGGTTTCGCCACACTAATGAACACTCAGGCAAACTTAAGAAATTTTCGGACCTTCGTGAAATTACACTGTTCGCCGTCGCGCCGACAACACGTGTCCGCGAAAGCCACCAGAGATGCGGAGGGGCGCGGAGCGACCTGGACCCACTGGTTCCCGGTTTTCCCGCTTGGTGGCGTCCGTTTTGCTGGAGTCGCGAATATAAAAGCGCCAAAAACGGCAGGGACTGAGAAGAGTGGAAACAACACGAAGCGCCTTGCGTTGTTTTCACTAAAGCGCCTTGCGTTGTTTCCACTTTTCTTTGTCCCTGTCGTTTTTAACCCTTTTCCATATTTGCCTACGAAGCAACTTGGTCATCTCTGCCCGTTTCTAACAATAGGTTTGTTTTCGCTTTACCTCGAAGATGGAGACATAATCTTGGCAATGTGGTGGCCTTATCGTGCACATAGCATGCTGTGTGTACGCCAACCTGACGTCACGGCGCCGTCAGTACTGCGCATGCGCCTCAAGTGAAGCTCCGTGTCTGCGCACGCGCAGTGGCCTGGTGCGGGCAAACGCCAACATGTTTGGAAGCAGCGTGTAGAGTTCAGCGCATTTTGAATTCTGCCTTCCAAATTATAAATTGTGTTCGGACTCGCTTCCAGTTATTTCCATTCTCGCTCTCTCAGACTGGTTTCGCTAATGTTCTTCCAGGTTCAACTTCACGAGGATGTGTAATGAAAACTCCTTCATGGATTGCAGCGACAACGACTCCGTAAGGGAACTTTTTTCATGCATGGGACAACAATCGATCGCGTACTTGCTGGCACAAATCGGAATGAGAAAGGCGTCGTTTTTTTTCTTTATAATAATATATGGCGGGAATATTTCTTTATTTTTATACTTATTTATTCCGGTATTCTGTAATACAGGCCGTTATATTGGGAACGAACGTAACCATAGCCTATAAAGTCATTCAGGCTTTCTCGTAATTCTTGCGCAATGAAGCAGGCCAGTGGCCAATAAATATATTCAACAAGATGCCATTAACGATACTCGAGGACTACAAATACGAACAGAACTCGCTGCTATCTGGTATCTCTGCATCCACACGACCAAGTTGCCTGCTTCCGAGTTCCATTCGTGATGTTACCCTTCGGGCGTTCGCCATATATGTGCCTAGAAAAAAGTCATATTCGGGAAGTGTGCGCAAACCTGCGGGCCATGGTTCTCGATATTTTAAGCCTTAAGGCGGTTTCACGCGATCAATTTGCACCTCGAGCTCTGGTCGGAATTCATCTTGAAAGGCTTCGCTCAATTTGTTTCGAGAAGGCAGTGTGTGTAGTTCGAGTTCTCTCGCGCTGTTACCGAATGCGTCTGCGGAAGTGGTCGGCGATACAAAGGATCGTCAGTTGGTAGTCTCGAATTTTATACATCCCCATTTTTTATTCGTACTTCAAACGTGCCGGTGCTCGAAAAGTCGTTCGTTTTTTTTACATCCTTCATTTTTGAAGGGTGTAAAAAGCGAGGGCAAAAGGGCGCAACGGAAAAGTGAGGAGAGCTTTATTAGAGGTTGTTTTAGCGAGTTTTCGAATACTTATCGAAGCTTTTTAGTTACCGATACATTCCTTGAACTTAGCTATGAAATGTTTTACGTGAAATATTGACGAGAATAAGACAACATAATTGATAATAATTTCCGGGACGATCATCTGCGAATGAGTGTCTTTGAGTTCTTAAAGATGTATAAGGTGATGGAGTAGCCAACAGGGTCGTGTTTCTTCTCTCGTGCGTAATTCACGGCGTCTGTATGTGCCCTTCCTGTTGACGTGAGAACTTGTTGCTCGTACGAAATACCACTAGGAGGCTGCAAAGATCCCCACTATTTTGTTTCAAAGTGTTTAGGAGCAGTCGCTCCCCAAATATTATGTTTCGGAGTGTTTAGAAGCTCTTGCTCTAACACCCTTGGGGTGTCAGCCGCGGCACAACATGATTTACACCCTGAAAAGTGTAATTTTTTTTTAGTGAGTACGTATTGCTCTAAGCATTTGTTTTTCTGGGAAACTTTTCGAGATCTATACTGAGCGACACTGTTAGCATGAACACAGAGAGTTTATTGAAGGCCACCACACTTTCAATTATGATGCCCATAGATTACTGCCCCGCATGAGGTCATTCCACAACACCAGCCATTTTTATGGCAACAGCTGAGTTTTAATCGAGAAAAAACAAAACTTGGGGATCGCTCGTACACGTTAACAGTGCCGCGGCGTGTACGTGCCATAAGCAGGCGCTTAAAATATGTTTTTCTTTTGGAAATTCAGTGTCCCTTTAGGGAAACTAACCTGATTCCGTGCATCGTGCTCGCAGCAACGCGTGGTGGGAAGCTACCTGGACGTCACGGTCAGGCTCATCGAGTACTCGTACTCGCGCGACAAGGTCATCTACGACTGCAGATTCGTGTCCACCGACGACGCCTGCGGAGACTTCGACTGTGCAGACTTGTGAGTCGGAGAGGACACCAACCACATTCGGCAACCGCACGTCTCGCTATGCGACTTCACCTGACTGCCTCTGCGATGCTGGCCACCATGCATTAGAAGGTCTTTTCTATTAAATGCTTCCTTACTGCAATCGCCTCGGCTTCCGGCGTCAAAAACAAGAATCGTTCGTAAAACCGTTTCGAAAAGTGCACATGCCGCAGAGTTGACCAGCTGCCAAGTTGATTTCACCTCTCGGTCCAGCTGCGTCGTAGCTTGGCCACTCTTCCGCGTCGCGTGTCATGACACCTCCCGCTCCATCTGTGTTGTGGCTTCTTGTAAAGTCCGTCTGTAAACTTATCCATGCATGCTTTATGTGTAGGTACCTAACAAATATCAACAGTGTCATATATGAGACAGTTTTACGATCATTTGTAAACACGAGATCAGCCGCATAAAACATCCGTGTACCACCCCTTAGTCAAATCGCGCACGCGACTCAAACTGTAAAATTCGGGAAGAGCTCCTTTGGTTATTCACGTGAGGGATGTAGACCAAACAAAAGTTCAACTGAAAATAAGGTTGGGCCATGGCGTGATGTGCGTGAGCAGAGAAGAAGGTGTGCAACCTTACAAATACAAGTTTGCAGTCAGCTGTCGGAATAAAATCACGTATCAACGTAAAAAAGCTTGGATAAATTGCTCTTTCTCATTGTCGGTGTTACTGTACTTGCAGTTGAACGCGAGTCAGGAAAAAACATTGTCTGTTTTTAAATAAAGAATTGGGTTCTTACTGAAGCCAATACAGATTTCGTGAGCGTCCATGGAGGGCCGTGGTCTAGCACAGTGCAAGCTAGTCGCGACGAGTAGAGAGCCTGTATTACAGGAGGTTGCCAACAACTCAATCGGCGTCATCTGGTTTATGGGCCGTGTTTGCAATACGAGTTGGTGACGAACACGTTGGTCGTCTGCAAGCCTTTCCGCCTTTCCTCCTGCTTTTCTCCTCTCCACGCGACAACGCAGCGCGTGCGCAATGGCGCCCCACCTCCGCGGGAGGTGTCCGCCATTAAATTGCACACGCTCCCCGTTGTCCAAGATGGACTCTCTCTCTTCAATGCTCTAGCGACAAAATGTTTCTCCCTCTTATGGTTTTTGTTTGCGACGTCATGACCAGGATTGTCTATTTCCAGCGGCAATCCCGATGGTGTGTCTAAAAAGCACAGTAGAAACCCGTAGTAATCGCGTCCTTAAAAAAAAAAAAAAAAAAACACCGTTAAAGTTGACAGCGTGAGAATCCTCTTATTCCCAACTTCGAAAGTATAGCAGTTGCACGGCTTTAATCAAGAGAGAGAGAGAGAGAGAGAGAGCGACGGAAAGAAAGAGGTTTGTTGAAGGGTCCATAAAGTGGATTTTTGACTGGGATAAATTATTTTAAATTGGAATTTTACTCATCGCATATCGGTTAGTGTGCCAAAAGAAGGAAGGCAGAAGATCTAAAGCCTGCTTTTCGGTACAAAAATTTGAAAATATAGCGCACTATTTCGTACCTCCTTTCCTTCAAAAGTACTTCGGCTTATCATCACTTGCGAACGACGACAAGTTCCATGGTGGGCTTGAAAAACACGCTGGAAGCTTGGAGTCATCCCATCGATGCCCAAACACGTCACGACCACGATATTTCTCATTTCGCTTTTGAGTTGAGAATTAAAGCTAAGAGGAAAGAAGTTTAAAAATCATTTCATGGCCCTTTAACCTAAACTTGGGTTCTGACTGGCTACATTGTACCGGGCAGGAGGGAAGGAGGAAGGAAAATATAGTGATGGAAAGAAAGGGACATTGTCAAGGGGAGGGGGGGTATGGTAATAGGAAGAACGTTTCAGGCGAGGCATTCGTGGCCTCCGTGAATTGGATTTTAATCGACAGGTTGCGATGTAATCCTTCCCATCAATAAATACTTTTGAACAGCATAAATAATCCAACTCGTCAAAGAGAACGTTCGGCGAATCGTGGAAAGCCGACCATTGCGACGTTTTTTGTAGCACACGTCTCCAATAGGAGCTTTGGCCCTGTTGGCCCGCTGCAAAATGTCAGTGTTGCGAGTCAACTGTTCGTGTTCGCGGGCGATGTGTGCTGACGGCACGTTGAGTCAGCCCGCACGATGCCCCCCCCCCCCCCCCCCCCCCTTCCCCCCCCCCCCCAGTTTATGTATTCTCGGTGTCGTCGCAAGAAAAAAAGGGGGACAAAAGACCGACGAGGCGCCGTTTTAAAAAGACGCGGCGGCCCGGGCAACGTTTTAGCGTATAGGAACAGACGCGAGCTTTGTGTGTTTACCTTAGTGGTACGTGCTGCGTAGTGTGGAAAACGCAACGCTAACGCACACAGTGCTGGCGTTCTGTGAAACTGAGGTAGAGGATGAGACAAAAGTGCGCGTGGACGTGACAACGCTGAGCTCTGGTTAGAATGATTAGTGGCCTAAAGCTAACTGCACTCGTCGAAGGCGTTCGAATGCGAGAGCCCAACGCCGGACGCCGGCGTTCCGCCTTCTAACCCGTTCAATGAGTGCAGTTAGCTTTAGGCTTGCCCACTAATCAGTCTAACCAGAGCTCGACGTTCTCACCTCCCCACGCGCTCTCGTTTCCTCGTCTCCCTCAGTTTTTGGGCGCATACTCATTACTAAAAATTACTGTTCAAGTTGAGCGTCGGGACAACTTCTCATAAAATGCAATTCTGTTCAATTTACTCAATAGCTTGAACTACAGCTTTAATGTTTTGTATGCACGAGACATGTTCGGTTCCGACGAAGGAGCGAAAAGACTGAAATCGGTAGAACACATTTGCATGTGCGAATGCTCGTGCTGAGATTTTCGGAGCGTTTGAACTAACGCCATCGTGACTCGTGTCTGTCCTTGCAGCTGGAAACCAGCCTACACGCACGCATTCGAGACGATCTGCCACACGTTCGACCTGGCGAGGAATCGCACGCCCAACCACCCCTACTGGAAATGCCCCAGTCCTTGGAAATACAGCGAGTGAAACACCATTACTTCGGACACGAGCGTGCCATGGGGGGACTGAAATAATGAGAAAATTATCCCACCAAAGGGCTGGAGAAAACCTCAAAACGCATCTTTTCGTCTTACTACTTCTCCGTATAGTTGTGTCTCCGCTTAAAATATTTCGAAAATCTTCTTGATCTTTATACTATAGTAAAGGGTGTTTTCACGTGACGTCAATCCGCCATTTTGTGTTAAATGTCCCGCGATGAAACCTATGCGGAACGCAAGTTCGTCTGCTTCTTGCACAGGAGTTGCGATTATGTCAGAACGCCGGGCTCTTATTGGGTAATTATTAAAAAAAAAAAGTCGTGGGTAGACGCTCGTTAAAAAGAGCAATTGCCGCCAGAAATACATACATATAGCACTGAGGTCTACCCACTGTCCTTTGAATCAAAGCCAATCGGAGCTCGGCATCGTTCTGACGTTACCGCAACTCCTGAGCTAGAAGCAGACCTTTTGCTCCCCCATAGGCCCCAGTCAACACCACCTAGACAGAAGGCCTCCACACGCGTCATCATAGTCAGATCGATCGAGGCGAGAGATTGGGCACGAGTGCTGCGTCAGTGTTCGGCTGCGGCTCGTGACCAATCAGCGCGTCGGAGGTCGGGCTCGGGTCCAATAGCCGACCGAGCGCGATCCGACTGTGATGACGTTTCATAGAGGAAGAGGAAACCATGCGGAGGCCTTCTGTCTAGGTGGTGTTGCCCCAGTGCACTACGGATCTGATGGAGACAGATGATTCTTTCAAACGCTCGCCTTTGGCATCCACCGCTTTTAACAACAAAATGGTAGACATAATGACGTCAATAAAAACACCCTGTATCCCCAACTACCAACTGGATAGACTCACTGGCAGGATGAGAACGGCAGGTGAGCAGACGCTCCTTGGCTCCCGCTGTGCTTGCACTGGGAGTGCACTTCTTACGAGACATCGTCTTATCCAAGACGTCCAAGTCGTATCGAAGAAAGACGTCCCTGCCCTTCTCTTCTTGTCGGTGAAATAGTCGCGTGATCGAAACTCGGGGGGAGCAGTACTGTGCAAAAAGATCCGGCATTCTGGATTCAACTGAAACCGAACCCCGGAAGAGCACTCCAACCGACAAAAATATAAAGATAGTAAGAGACTCTTGGATGTTTTTTCGCATGCGTTCGCACCGGACTCAAGACAGCTGATTATGAGCATCCGAATTTCAGCGTTGGAATATCTTTGCCACCAAAATAAGGGGTGGAATCTTCATTGCGGCATTCTATCTTCCGTGCCAAGCATATACTGAGAGAGCCTATATACACGGCGCGACACAGTTAGGGAGGGTACAGGACATCGACGCTTCTCCACAATTTGCTCAGACCCTGTATTGAAAGGTATAAGAATGTACCCCTTAATAAAACTTTGGTTGGGGCGGGTTGGTTCATATCGATTAAAAGTTAAAAGGCGCGAACAAAACAGGACGAAAAAAGACACACGTACGACACGGACAGGCGCCAACTTCAAACTGATTTAATGAAACACGATTCATCATCCAAACTTTCGATCCCCCTAAACACGTGTAACTGATAAAAGTTCTGATCGCTCATTACACACAGCCCTCAAGAAACAAAATTTCTTTGTTTAGTAGATAAAGAGATGGCAGGCTTACGCATCTGGCAGCCGCTTTGTGTATACAGAAAGCTTCGAAGTTGGATTAATTCTCTTTCCATCTTCTTACTCCCTTTCTTAATAAACCTTGCCTAATCTAGCAAAGAATCGCACCCCCATCGTTTGCAGTGCTCCACAAGATGCCCACCCGAATTATTGCGTACGGCAAGCTTGTGTTTGCGCGTTCTTTCATTAAAGCATCAGCCGGTCTGACCGATGTAATCTTGGCCGCTACTAAAAGGAATCTCATAAACCACCTTGGTCACGCATTCTGAAGTGTGTGATCCGGACTGACCCTTTCCGCTAGACAGCTGTTTATTTGTTTTTTGTTTTTCTGATAACGTATCTTTTAAAAGAAAGACATGGAAAACTGATTTTCGCATATAAGTACGAACGATGCCACCAAAATGGTGACGTATACTGTCGCGGGCAATGTTAGCATGAATAACCCGCCAGGTTTATTTCGTGCACCTCCACCAGCATACAAAGGAGGGTTCAAACTAAGGATGGAACTTAAAGTTAAGGTGCCAGTCTCTGGGCAATTTAATAAACCCTCGCAAGAATATTTCAGGCAGCCTATAGAAATCGAAAGACTCTTTCAACTTCATATTCACTCACGTCGTATCGACAATATTCAATTAACTTTCTTTCCACCGAAGTCTATAGAATACGCACGATAGAAATGCTATAGAAATTATATTGGCCCGTGTCGATAGACCCTCACCGTATTTCTATAAAATTTCTATAGACTATACTTGATAGAACAATGTGATTCACTGCCGAGAAGCGACATCACTCTCAGTTGGAGCCTCCTAGCGGAGGCTCTTTGTTTTCCGACTATGTCCAATAATTTTTGCTTCTTGCAATTCTTTTTACTTAAAGATGCAGTTCTCCAACCCTTATCAAACACATTTCGTATAAAGTGTTTGGTGAGAAAAATTCAACATACGTGCAATCATTTTGTCTTCTGTGGTGGTCCTCTTTCAAATGATTGTCTTTTAAATGTAGGGTATATATAGCGGTGGAGCACTCAACACGACTGAACTACTAGTCTTATGAGTGATTCGCGACGTGTGCATCTGTCATGTCTGCGTATGTGCACACGGCAAGTGGCCAGTGCATATCTCCATAAGCGTGTTGTGACAAACAAAATCATTGTTTAGGGTGTGTTTTTTTTTCTTTTTTTTGCGCGAAAAATTTAACTAATATTGTTAAAACAGGGGAAGAAGTTTTGTTAGAATCTTTATTTTTTTATATATATTTTTTATTCAATCTTCATACACTAAGTTCTATAGAAAGTCTACAGAAAACTGCCAAAAAATATAAACAAAAGAAAATTTGATAAATTTTCTATAGAGTATAGTCTCTATATACTATTTTTATATAAATTATGCAGAAAGTGGATGAATAATTTTGTATGGGTTAACCGAGAGAATAATGAGGATGGTGGAGCCGCAGTGGTAACCAAAGGTCGGTGAGCTTGCGTTACTGCTCGTATACTGTGTATGAGTGCACCCTTGCGAGCTCCCTCAGCAACCGGTGATTTACCGACGTCATGTTTTCCTCTATTTTAGCTCCTCGCACGGGAAACAAGAACGAGCTGATGTCAGATCAGAAATGTGCTCCCCCGTATTATAAAACTTCTCTGTTTTAGCTTATTCTTATAAGTTAGAAATGTACATTACAAATTAGGAAAGTATTTTGTTGTTGTGTGTATGTTTATACAGCCTAAAACTTGGTCTGCCTCAATGGGCGACGAGTCTATCAGCTGGAGATTAGAAATTTAGCTAGTGCAGTACAACCACTAGCCTAGGGTCTTTAACGTGCATCACGTTAAAAACCCCAGGTAAGTAGTAAATAAAAGTAAATGGAACAGGTAAGTGCGCTATGTGTTAAAGTTTCCGCCACTCCGCTCTTTTTCTTTCTGTCTTTATCCCTTTGCCGCTCGTTTCGTCGCATTTTACATCAACCAACAGCTCCAAGATCAGGGGCGTAGCGTTGCTTTGTCATCTACCGGACGTCACCTTTGGACGCAGATCGGACAGAAATGCTGATTTCGGCTGTAGCTCTCGCTTAGCTGAACACGAATCCGAACTATGACGCAATACTCGTGTCCGATCAATGCCAACCTAGCTTCCGGTAAGTGAAAATTAATCATTAGGGCCTGAATCCGTTGAGGCATCACGAACTATGGTCTCGGTCAGGGTCTTTACTTTTCTCAAAATAATTGAAAGACTTCGTATTGTTCTTACTTTCCCTGAAAATAAATTAAAAGCAAAGCGGTGAAAACAAAATTATCAGTATTCACACGACAAAAAGAACTCAGAAAAATTTAAGAAATAAAACAATTTCACATTCACACCTGTAGGTAAAACGGAGGGTCCATGGCCGTCGTTGCTCAGTCACTGCTCAGTCTCTCGAACCTTCTTGGTTGCAACTGTGAATGAGCTTGTCGGAGGAACTTGGATGTTTTGTGGCTTGTGGGTTGACCCTTGACTTTGTCTCGGACAATCCTTGCTCGGGGGACGCGGAGCCGGCCGCTCGCACCCAATCGAAGCTTTTCTTAAATGCCGCTCGGTCTAATACCCTATTCACACGGACCGTATAAAGGCACCTTTAGCATAGGTCCTTGTCGTAAAGGGACATAGAGTTCGTATTCACAAGGCGCACAAAGATCCCTTTCGCTAAAGGAGGGTTTAGAATAAACGAAGCTCGCAGACCTCCCTTTACAGCTACAGACCTCCCTTTACAGCTAAAGGAGGGTTCAGAATAAACGAAGCTCACAGACCTCCCTTTACAGCCTCTGACCCATGAATTCCCAATAAAAATCTAGCATACATGCTTTTGCTTCGTTAATTGGTTTGTAATAAAAAGAATATTTTCGAGGCAAAGATTATAAAGCAAACGTGAGCACAAACCTGATGGAAGACGGTAGCGACAAATTTATAGCCGCGACAGCGGGCAGCAGCGGTGGCTCGAACGCAATGGCGGCTGTTCGTGATTTGAGTAGTGAGTACACTAGCGACGACGTCGTCCGCGTCGCCTGTACAGAGCATTTTTGTGACCATGATTTGTCCTGGTGGGTCTATGAACTTGGGTGCCAGCACTAGCGGCACCAGTAAGAAAGGTTCTCGAGTTCACCGGTCCGGGATGAAAACATGGTCGCTAGTTCGTGTCTGCGAGGACAACATCGGCGAACTCCGCCGACAAAGGAGGAACGCCGGAGCTTACGAGACGATCCACCTCGGTCTGGAGAGGTTCTCTATTGAGAAAACCCGGAGGCAGACGCAAAAAAGTAGCAGAGCACACTCGGGGAAAACGGAGAGTTGTCGATCACGTTTCGCACCGTGCGTACCTCGACTGCGTACTTCCTTTGAATCTGGAGTAGACAACACGACGGGCAATTTGGCCACGCCAGCGAGACATTCTAAAAAAAAACTGATTTTTTACTTGTACCATGCAATGAAATCAATAAAACAATTGTTAATTATTTTTAAAAGGACTTATTCCACTTCTAATAAAGTAGAGAATGTTTCTCAGACCTGTTCAGACCAAACATTATATATTGCTCGTTCGCCCCTCGGTTTAGCCGGGCTACCCCCAGTGCACTAAACATCAACTCTAAGTACTTCACTTATTTGTCGTGATACAGGTACCTTTAGCCACGGGACATAAGCTACAGGTCCTTTAGGCAGCCCGTGTGAATGGGGCATAAGCCTATTTCAAACGCCTCTTCTTTTCTTTCTTGTCCTATCTCGCGTTCTCTTAAAGGGGCACTGAAGTCATTTTTGAAAACGTCGTTTTTGATCTTATATTCTTTAAAATGTGTTAGTTCTCTCAATACCAAGTCCTATATTACAAAACCGCCTATTCATCTCAGGGCAATAAAAAAACTTGTGGACTCTTTTTTTTTTTTTTTTTTCTCGCGGACTACGTTGTGTGGACCAATGAAAGCCCTACAACACGCGCAGATTCCGAATGATTTTACTATAAATCGTTTCGAAGAGAGTCTGAAAGGTACACATTCGGATAAGACTCCTCTTTTTCTCCGCGGGCGAAGCCATCACTTGCAACTCGCCGAGAAGCACCCTTCGTCGACCACTTCACTCGGAAGAAATTTCTTCCCAAAAAGGGCGTGTCGCGATCTGAACACGCTTTTAACGAGGAAATAACCTATGCACGGTTGTGGTTTAGGGTTTGTTGGAATGCTTAGAGAATCTAGATTGAGTTATCACCACAAAAGGGCGATCTCAGAATCGACTGGAGTGCCCCTTTAATTTCGAACTTCGGCTTTATTTTCGTCGCACCCTCTGCGCGGGCTTTTTCCGCGTCGTTTTCTTCTTGCTTCCTTTCAGTACACATCATCACAGTTCCTTAGTCAATCTGGCCTCTGTATACAGTGCCATAGGTTACACGCGTCATTGCCGAAACAACTCTCAGGACTCATCATTGAAACGGGGCCGCACACCACGTATAAGTTTTTATTTATTTATTTATTTTTTACCGCGCGTGCGCAGAGATGTTAGCGTCCATCAGCGCCCGCAGCGAGAACGCGTACCAGGCGGCCAACGAGACGGCCTTCCTGACGGGCCACTTCCACCAGCAGAACGTGATCGCCAACGGCGAGCGGAACACCATGCGCTTCCAGTCCGGCTACAAGTACAAGATCGCATCGTACCAGGCAAGCGCAGACCGTCTTTATATAATTAAAAAAAAAAACTGGCTGAACGCCGGCGTCCAGCGTTTGGCCTTCCCATTCGAACGCGTTCGACGGATGCAGTGGAGACAGGCGGCTATAGGCCTGTTTCTCACGGCCAGGAGGCGCTGTAGTGTTCTCGAGATGCGACCACAAAAAAAGGTGCGTTTGCTAGCGTCCGCGAGACGCGACCATTTCATGCTGACGTGAAGCGGAGCCCTAGCGTCCCATCATGTACCGTCCACGTTTGTTAGTCTCTCTCGACGTCTGTTAATGGTTCACGCGCACTAACAGAGTGTTTGGAAGGACGGAACGCTACGCACAGTGGAAACGCGACCTAGAAATATCCTTTGTTCCTCACCAGGAGCGCTGTTCACAATTTGAGAGCTACAGGTCTATCTTGAGGTCTACCCACTAGTCCCTTCAACCATACCTCGGCGTTCCGACGTCCCCTATCGTCTCCTTCTCTCCCTCGTTTTCTCGGCGCATTAAAAGAAAGCGGTTGATTGGTCCGGTGAGCGCGTAGCTCCCACCACACTGTCAACTTAGGGGTCAGCGGAGTAGCGTAAATCACAAAGACTCGGCCTTATTCGCTGGCTTCAGTGACAGCACGCGTTACTGCTCATCCCACACACTGCGCACAAACAACATTCGCCTGTGGTAAAGCAAAAACGCCGTGCCCACAGCGGCACCACCGCAGCACAGTGACTTCGGACACCGCCGAATTCACAGATTGCCCTATTCAAAAAGTTCAATTAGATATCCTATTATGCAAATTGTAACAGCAATACAATGTAGTTAATTGTAATTGGGATATAATAGGTGATATGTTGTATTGGGATCCAAACAGGTATTGTGCCTTAATCAAGGTATACTATTGTATTGTATTGTATTGTATTGTATTGTGGAAATGGCAACTCCAATACGCACGTGCTAATTGGAATCACAAATGTTGTAGCCATTAGGCATTGGCCGACCCAGCCTCTCTCCCACTCTCCTACCTGTGTCTGGACTGTAGCGGATTCCACCCCGTGTAAAAGCGCAGGAGCCAGCCGCATAAACTTCCCAGTTAAGGCCGGTTCACACACACAGCGGAGCGCTAAGTTAGCGCTACGTGAGCGCTCCAAGGAGCGCTCATGTGGCGCTTCCTAGCGCGTGATGTAGCGCTCCGTTAAGCGCGATCCAAACCAACGCTTCTTTTTGCGCCTGTAGGTCGTGCGGCTGCGGATGTGGTGCATTTCGTGGCGTTTTTGCTGTTTCCGGGCGCGCTTTCTGAGTCAGAACCGTGCGCTTTGGTTTGGACGGGCGAAACTTCGGGCGAGCGCGCACGCGCGCACGCAGGCACGAGCGCACAAGCAAAGTGCAACTGCGGCAGACTGGCCGGCCAGACGGCGAGAGGAAGAGAGAGAGAGAGAGATCGCGTTGTCATGTTGGAAGAGAATAAAAGGGAGGGAGGAGAAGGCGGCCAGACGGCGAGGAACGCGGAGCCGGAACTAGCTTGCCCTCCACCGATTGGCCGGGACACAGGAGCGCCCTACTACGTCACCGCGCGTTTTTGTGCGCGTTGAGAAAGAAGTTGAAATCAACCAACTTTTTTATGCGCGCCCGGAAGGAGCGAAGAAGCGGCGCGACGTCACGAAAATACGTCACATCCGCAGCCGCACGACCTACAGGCGCAAAAAGAAGCGTTGGTTTGGATCGCGCTTTAGCGCTTCAGAAGCGCTCTGTTAGCGCTTCCGAAGCGCTTTGTTAGCGCTATGTTAGCGCTACAGAAGCGCTTTGTTACCGCTCTCACGCTCCTTGTACCGTGCTTGCTGCTGCGAAACAGCGCGTGCACGTCGATTCCGTTGTTGTTGTTTTGTCTTTGACATTGAAAGAAGAGGAAGTAAAAGAGCCGCTCTCCAAGCAAAGGGTCGGGCAGACGATCCAGACTCATGGACTCTGAGCGACTAATTGGGAGGGTACGACCTCATCGCTTTCTATTCGATATGCGTGACCCTGGTTTCAGAGACACGCAGTTAAAAAATAATCACCTTCGAAAGAGCTATGTGTCTCGGTCCCTCAGCCTGGGAACAAGGTTCGCCGGATACCCGTCGGTATCTCGGTGGCGAAATATTTCGCGCACCGAAAAGGCTCTTCTGGGCGTTAAATTGTCTACACACGCATGCACTAATTGCGTATGTTATAGCATTTGTCACATTTATATTTTAGCATCCCGCATGTCCGCCATGGTGCGGCTGATGCACACCCAACCACAGGAACCGGAACCGCAGTGCACGCGCTAATCCGCAGCACCGCGGAACAAGAAGCGCTTCTGAAGCGCTAACAGGGCGCTACTGAAGCGCTAACAAGGCGCTACAGGAGCGCTAACAAGGCGCTACTGGAGCGCTAACAAGGCGCTACAGAAGCGCTAATCGCGCGCTTTGTTAGAACTAAGTCACGCGCTAGGAAGCGCCACATGAGCGCTCACGTAGCGCTAACTTAGCGCTCCGCTGTATGTGTGAACAGGCCTTCAATCTCTTTCACGCAGTACTCAAGCCGTCGGCTCATCTCCTTGATCACCCGGTTAGCCTCTATGACCCGCCTCTCGAGGTCAAGAGACTGTCCCCGGACACGTGGGATAGTGCATATGATCCACATGCACCCTCTTAAGGCCCGTTCACACTCTGGCGACCGAGTAAGACCGATAGAGACCAGACCGGTTGTTAAGCCTCTTGCGACTTCTTCTGGCCCTAAGAAGTCACAAGAGGCTTAAAAACCGGTCTGGTCTCCATCGGTCTTACTCGGTCGCAAGAGTGTGAACGGGCCTTCACTGACCGCTCTTAATTTACCCAATCAGGCCGAGGGACTCAAACCGAAAAATATAACGTTTCGGTAACGGTTACGGTTACCGTTACCCCTTGACATCGGTCTCGTTTGCGGTTTTTACGGTTTTAATTTTAACGGTTTCGGTTACCGGTTACGCGTTCCTAAAAGCGGTTCTTACCGGTTTCGCCAATAATGTGTTTCATTGAAATGCTAGACAACCCATTCATAATAAACGGTTTAAATTAGTCATAGATACCATAGAAAGGAACATTCATAATAACAAGAACTCACAAACGCCTTGGTACATCTCATTGGTCAAAAGTTGCACACGTTTCTAGCTCCAACACTTGTTCACTATGTCTATTTCATTATATAGTTTGATACCCAAGCATGCATGATACCGTCGCAACTCGGGGATCATAGCATTGTATATAATAAAAATAAACATCGCTATATTGTTGTTCCCCTCACCGTTTGTAAACAACCCTCAGAAGGTTCCCACTGGGTGCTCGAAGAACCGTTCGCACCCCGGATCGCGCTTCCTCGGTTGGTCAATGCAGCGCGAGTGAAGCCACCGGACTACCATCTTGCACGTGGCCGAAATACGTTTTTGCTAGCGTTGCAGAGGCTGGCGACAGCGTGCTGAAGACAGGTTTTCTACTCGTTCGTCATCATTCGCCGAAGAGGTTCTTTAAGACCCTGTGTGCGCGTTGAGTCTTGCCTTTGAGAACACATGGAAATTTTTACGAAAGCCCAGTGCCACAAGAAAAAGGCATTACTCATCAAAAGCAAGTTTCGCCGGTCTCGCGGCGTGATCGAAGTTTCCTGGGCACGCCGAAGTGCTGCGTCTCTGTGTCTTCACACGCTTGGGTACCGATGAAAATTCGACGCCGTGTCGATGAGTTTTGCGAGTGAAATGTGCGTGAAGCCGTATGTGACTCTAGAACAGCGTTTTACTTTACTCTGACGACTGTATTTGTAATTTGCGGCACTTGCAGTCCAGAAGCGAGCTTGATCCAGCGTCCAGTGGCGACGGCATTGGGTGAAGGAAAATACGTCTTTGTTTTCGTTGTTAGACGGTTTATAGAATACAGCACAGCAGCTCATAACTGATCAGTGGTCTGGCTCATTATCAGCAATTGCCCGCGACATCAAGTTTGAGCGCAGCTCGCCTAATTGTGATTGGTCAACAGATTGCACACGACCACATGGGCCCCGTTTTAAAGATTTTCAATCTCGCCGTCTTGTACTTTTGCCTTCTAAAAACCATCCTCGCTCCACAGTGTTTCTCTATTTGTGCTGCCATATGATACATTAGAGTAGATTTGAAACATAGCCATGGTTAATAGTGCATAAGAGCAACCGTACAGATTGTTTCCCCCTTTTATTGATAGCAACTCGTAGTAACAGCGAGACGATCCAGAACTCTGTGGCCGATATATGATGCAAAGATATCGACGCGCAACACACCTTCAAAACTTTGCCGTGGAGACGATTCTTGATCGGTATCCAAGCGTGCAGCGGCAGCATATCGGCGTGCCAATGAAGCTTTGATCACGCCTCGAGACTGGCAAATTTCGACGAGTTGTGCCTTTTTCCTACGGCACTGCGTTTTTGTAAAAATTTCCCCGTGTTCTCAACGGCAAGTCTCAACGCTTTCACAGGGTCTTAAAAAACTATTTCGGCAAATGACGAAGAACGAGTAGAAAACGTGTATTCACCACGCCACGCCCAGCCTCCGCAACACTAGGAAAAAATGCGATTATGCCACGAGCAACATGGCCGTCCGGTGGCTTCACTCGCGGGAGCGCGAAGCGCGATCCAGGAATTGTCATAGAGATCTGTGGTTGTGAATGTAGGAGTGTGGCAAATTTAGAAACATAAATCTTTCATTATAAGCTCGACCATTGATTCCAACTAAGTGTTTTTAATCCTAAATTTAGATTGAACGGAAATGTATTATCAGATGCACCACTCGCTGACGCTAACGATCTCAAATGGCCACGATCACTGATCTCTATGACAATTGCTGGAACGCGCTTCCCCGCCCCGCGAGTGCGGCTACCGGACGGGCATCTTGCATGTCGAAAAATCGCCTTTTTGGAGCGTTAAGGTGGCTGGGGACAGCGAGCAGAAGACACGGTTTATACTCGTTCGTCGTCATTCGCCAAATGAGT